ATAGAGAGACATATACTACACAATACAAAAATAGGAAATGAATGTTTTATGGATGTTCATCATTAATTAATATTAATATACCAACGTCGGTTAGTGAAATAGGATATAATTGTTTTTATGAATGTGTTAACAAGTATTGACATTGAAAATATACAATACATTTGTGAAAACAGAATAATTGTAAATTCACAAAACATGGTATCTATTAATGTTGGTAATTTAAAAACGGTTAATGGAAAAGAAATAGAGGGAAGAAATGTTAATGAATTTATTATACCATCAACATTACTAAATTAGGAGATTACTGTTTTTATAGATGTTTGTCTTAACAACTTAAATATACCTACAAAAATTAGTGAAATAGGGGAGAGTTGTTTTTGAGGAAAGAATATTTATAAATCAAACAGTATTATCTAGTACTAAAATATCAAAAAAAATCTTGAAATAATAAATGGAAAAAGAATAAAACAACAAGACATTAATGAATTAGTTATTCCAACTACAGTCTGTGAACTAAATAATTATTGTTTTGATGAATGTACATCATTAAAATCAATTAGTATACAAAATACAATTAATAAGTTAGGAAATGGTTGTTTTGAATGTTGTTTATCGTTAATATCAATTAATATACCAACAAGTGTCAATGAAATAGGATATGAATGCTTTTATTGATGTAAATCATTAGAATCAATTAATATACCAACTTCTGTTAGTAACTTTGGCAATGAGTGTTTTTATAAATGTTCATCGTTAGTCATTATCAACATACCCACACCAATTAGTGAATTAGGATACTGTTTTTGCTACAAATGTTCGTCATTAAAATCACTTGATGTACCAACATCAGTTAGTAAATTAGGATATAATTGTTTTTCATGATGTTCATCATTAAAAGCATTGACATCCAAACAATCATATCATTTGGAAAAGGATATTTTTATGGATGTGGATCTGAGGAAATATTAAGATAATCAAGGATACCAAGAAACTGTTTTGAAGAATAATGAATAAGATAAAATCATAGTAATGACGTTTTGTAGTTTGTAGTTGAAATACAATGAAGTTATATAGTCATAACAAATTTTCATTTAAAATTTTATTTTTATCTTAAGTTTTTGATAAGAAAATGAGAAACTTCATATTTTATTAATATTATTCATATTACCTGTTATTAACTCATTTAATAATCACACTATTTGATTGAATCAAAATGTGTAATTAAATTTATCATTTTGTTCCATTATAATTAAGTTCGGTTTTTAAATTCTTTTTGAAAAGAGAAGTATTATACCAATTACTTAATTGATAAATGTTAAAATACTCTTTGGATTGTGTATATTCCTGAATTTATTGGCTGATATTATTTATAATCAATTGGAATAAACCATTCTTTTATTTTTATTGTATTAGTTATTTTATTTTAAAAGTTTAATCAAATATCGTTTTTATGTATGTTATTAATTAATTGTTAATTTTATTTCTTTTCATTTATTTAAATTTGTTGTTATAAAGATTTAACAGTTTTGTTATTTATTTATTTGATATATTCATTATATTTGTTATTATTTCATCATTACAATTATTTATTCTTGTTTCTATTAATTATATGAATTTATGTTATTTGCATTATGAATTAAACATTTATCTTAAATAATGTCATTTAATGATTTGATTATTGATGTTATTATATCAATTATTGTTTTAAATCATTTAATTTATCATATTTTGAAAATAATACATCTTTAATTAATTTAATAAATTGTGGATTATCATGTAACTCTCTGTATTTTCAAGTTAATATTTATATTAATGTATTAACCTTTTCTTTTTTTTAGTGATTGTACAGTTCATCATTATACATTTGATGGAATGATAAAGCACTCTATCAATTCTATTCTATTTTGATAAATATTGAAATGTTGATAATGAGTGGAGAATCATTGTAGTTGTAGTAATTTCTCATTATTCTCTTTGTTATTATACTATTATTACAAAACAAATATAGATTATATAACATAATAGAATAAACAACTGAATATTAAATAACATAATAAATTAATAAAAACAAATGATGCTTTATATTAAATCAAATTAATATGTAAACAATAAATTAGACAATAAGAAATGAATAAGATTAAACAATTATAAATTAAATACGAATAATACAATTTAATGTGAATAAAATAACAAACTAAATTCAATAAATAATAAAATCAATACAAATAAACAATCAATACAAATAAAGAATAAAATAAGAGAATAGAGTAATCAATAATTAGTGATAATTCATCATTCATTAAACAAAATAAATTATATTATCTATGTAAATACATTATTTATAAATGAATTTGATATTACAAATAAATTTTAATAATTATATAAAATAAAACCATAATTGAATCTCAAATACTTCTTCTATCAATTCTTTTTATTTTTGTCTTTTTACATTTTTCTCTGGAATCGTTATAATGACCTGTCTTGTTCTGTTAGTTCTTCTTATTACAATAATTTAAAATTATTAAATCCTTATAGTAATAGCACTTCTTGAATTAACTTTTTATATTTCTGCACTACTTTAATCTGACGTACAATTCATTTCTCTCTTCTTTTATTGTTCCATTATATTCTTCACAGTATTTGTTTGTATCAAGTCAAAACGAATTACAACTATTTTTCATCTCATAATCTGTTCATTGGTTTCCGTTATACAAACTGACTTTTGTCTGATTGAGAACTGTCAAAACTATCAATCCCTTAGACCACTTTACATATAACCTTTTAATTATTGTTAAACATTTCTTACTTCTTTAGAGGATTGCACAAATAATTAAAGAAAATTGTTCTCATGTAGTTGGCGATAATTTGAACGTTGAATTGTCAGAATATAAAAATCATATAAAAATTAATAAAGAAAATCGGTATTTATAACATAAAAGGGTTTTAATAAAAAAAGAAACAAAAGAAACAGAAGATGGAGATTGGAGGAAAGCACTATGGAGCATTTAGAGAAGAAGAGATTATCCATATGCAAAACTTGGTGAAAATTATTGAGAATGGAGCTAATAATGAATTTGTAACTATATCATTATTCAAGATATTAAGCTCAATGATTATAAAGTTAAATCGACAAATGATGGAGAATGAAAAGACAAAACGAGAACAACTCGAAGAGGTAGTTGGTGCTATTAATTTCTTGAAAAGTCGAGTGGATGAAAGCAATGAAGCAGTTCAGAGCATTATCAATGAAGCTCCAAAAGAAAGAGTAAGAAGAGACCCAATTATTGAGATGAAAACACTTGAAGCAAAAGAAAGTCAAGAGAAACAAGAAGTGAAAGGAGAGATTGAAATTAGTACAAGAGAAACGCTAGAAAGTTTTGGAATTGGAAAGGAAATTGAAGAGGTTAAAGAGTGGATTGGAAAGAAAGAGTATCGTACTATCTACGATTCTAGTGTTGATGGATTAACATCATATGGTTTAAACGATAAAATTTGTGGAAAGAAGAATGTGATGGTATTTATTAAGACAAGTGATGAGCAAATTATTGGGACATATAGCAGTGTGGTAATTCCTACACCAAGTTATGAAGGAGAATATTGTTTCATAAGAAATGATAAAGAATTCTTTATTCTAAAGAAAGAAGGAGAACATATGAAACGAATTGTTAAAAGAGAAAGGGCAGAAAAGAGTGACGCTAGCTTAATGATTCATTGTTCAATGGATGATGTGTTTTATGTTTCAAGAGCTTTTTGTATTAAAACAAAAGGGTCATTTGTTCTTCCAGGAATTAGTCAAGAATATGAAATTGAAGATTCATTAGGAGATGATTATTTAGTAGGAACACATGATCCATCGAAGTTTGATGTTAAGAAGATGTATGCCATTGAATGGAATTAAGTTCTTTTCTACTTCTTTCTTGTTTTCTAAAATAAAAAAATATTAATAATTATTTATAATGTCTATGATTTAAATCATTTAATTGAATATACAATTAACTTGGAACTTTAAATTCACTTCTTTGACAATAAAGAAATACTTACTAAACAAAGCAGCTAAAAGAGTTATTGTTAATATCATACAATCAACTATTTCGTAAATTATTTAATTAAGTAATGAACTCATTTAGAATGTTAATAGTTTTAAGTAATAGTATAATGTTTTAATACTTTATCTGAACGTATTTATAAAATCCATAACCACTCTCATTTTTCCTTGCTTTTCTACATTGGTTATCACTTATTATTCATACCTCTAATTAACTGTTTAGAAATTAAATCATTAATTATTTTTTTATTTAGATGAAATTTTTGATAATACGTCAATAAATTTTGCTAATTTTTGTTAGGCTTCTTAATTAATAGATTTCGTATTGACAACCATACCTGGTTTATTTAATGCACTAATGTTTCCCTTTTACTTTGCATAGTAAGTTTGCCTTTTCCTAATAGCTTCTTATTTTTTAACTAGATACGCTAATTAGTTCCATTGTTTATCTTTATTAATATTGTTCTCTTTTTCTTTTATTTTTTTAGAAATTTCACAACTCTTTACAACTCTTTCTGATTTTATACAATCAAAGTTTAATACTAAAATGTACATTTTTCTGTATTTCAGATAAAACTAGGATACACTTTTTTCTTTTGTTCATTTGGTTTTTTTTATTCATGTCTTTTGAATATTACTCATTCTTTTATTTAATATTCATGTAAAAAGATTATCCAAATAAATATGTGAGAATTTATATCTTTGTTGTTTCTTTTTTTTTAAATTTGATACGTTAATTTTATTTTTCTTTAAACCACTCATTATCAAATTGTCTAATTCTTATTTTGTAATTGGTTAGTACTATAAAAATAGATGAAAGATAATAGTCTTTTCATTCTACTCAAAAATTTATGTTTATAATGATATTTTACAATGATAACAAATGGTATTAGAATTAATCTATTTTTCTCTTCTTGTTTTGTTTTATTTTATTCTTTGAGTATATTTCTGTTTTCTCATACTGTTATACTTATTCAATTCAAAGAATTATCTGTATCATTTTACTATTGGAGAAAGTAATACAATACTCTTTATTACCATATTTACTCTTGTTTATTAATCAGGATAATTTGATTTCTACTCTTTATACATTAACTATTTTTATTGTTGTTTATACTTTTTATTAACATCAATTCTTTCCACTATGTTCCTTTTTTTTTGCTTATTTCTTTTTGTATTTTTTTTAATGTTCAGGACAAAGATTCAATCACAGTTTGTTTGATTTTCGTTTCTTTATTAAATCAGATGATGAACAAATTTGTATAAAGAGAATTGTACAAAAGTAGATTAGTAAATTAACAAAGAACCATATTAAGTTATGAGAATATTTATTACTTCTCAACTACTTTTAAACAAGATAAAAGAAACAATGTATCAAAAATCTTTTTGTTATCATCATATGTATTATTTAATGATGGAATCAAAGATTTAAATAAGATAAGTTCAAGAACAAATTCTAATAAGTATTTATCATTATTTATTCTCTTATTTCCATAATTAAACAAACAAAAAGGAAACAAGTAGTTTAGTTAAAAGAAAGAAACACAATTCAATTGGTTAACGTGTGAATGGATAGTTGTTTTTTTTTCATGAAATGATGTATTGAAGTTATTTTAAAATATGAAAATATCAATCAGTTAAAATTATGCTATTAATGAAGAGGTCGTGTTTCTGTATGTTCAATCTGTGAATTAATCCACATAGGCCATTCACAAATTGGAACACCTTCTGCTTCCATATCAACATAAAAATCTGTTAAATTTGTATTTTTATTAGAATTAGATGCATTCATTAACTTAACTCCAAGTGCAACATAATTAAATAACAACTTACGTGTTTCAGTATTCAATAAATTCTTTTCAATTTCATTTAATCGTTTGATTTTAGAAGTTAATTCTTCTTGAAGTGCTTTATTTTTTATCTTTTCCTCATTTAGTAACTTACTTAGATTAACTACATTATTGTCAAGATCTTCTATCCTTGCTTTTATCTCAAAAATATTTATTGAAGAATCCAATGAAGGGATACTTCCTTTTTGTTGTTGATTAATTTTTATTTGTGAATTGAGTTGAGTATTTTCATATGAAAGAACATTTATTTTTTGTTGTAAATTATCTATTTCTTCCTGTCTCTTTTTTTGTTCTTCTTCATTTGTTGTTTTAATTTGATTTAATTGTTGTTGTAATTCTTGAGTAGTTATTTTCATTTCTTCATTGACTTTTCTAAATTCTTCTTTTTCATCTTGTAATTTTT